AATGTCAGTAATGATACATTATTTAAAATGAGTTATCTTTATACACCAACTGGAAAAACACAAAGTTACCAGAGTATAATTTATTAATCTCTATTTCTATTATTTTAATGTAGTCAATTATAGAATTTAGTGCATTGCATTGGTTTTAGATTTAGAGGAACATGGGCCTGAGATCCTAGATTGCCACTTCACCTGCTAGAGACCTAACAATTCCACCCCTTGGTACACACCCAAAGGAAATACATGTCTCACTGTTCTAAAAGATGTATAAGAATGTTCATGGCAACTTAATTATCAATGGACAAAAACTAGAAACAAAATGTCACTCAGTAACAATAGATATATATGTATGCCAAGAAAGATAAACAAACTAGAACAGTATGAAGCAACGTAGATTAATATTGCAAAGACAATGTGAAGTGAAAAAAAATCCAGGCACAAAAGAAGATATACTGTATAATTCCATTTATATAAAGTTTGAAAAAAACAAGCAAAAGTAAACTATTGTTTTTGGGGATGCACACCTAGGCATAAAAGTACAAGAAAAGCAGTGACCATAAAACTCATGATACTGATTATCTTTGAGCAAAAGGAAGTAGTAGTGATTGGGAAAGGAAACGAGGGTACACTTGTGGAGCACAGACAGTGTATTAATTCTTGATGCAGCACACAGGTGTTTGGTTTATGGAAAATCATTGAGTTGTACAACTTTTCTTTGTACAGCTATTTTTGTATGTACAGTATATTTCACAATAAAAACATGAAAAAATTAGAAAAAACCAACTTCGACCCCATTGGAATAAAATGATACATTCTTTTAATTTATACAAACATGAATAAATAGCATTTTCTCACAGTTCTGATCTTGACTGTAAAAGTTGCCTTGGCTGTTCCCTAACATTAAAGAAGTGATATACTCACTTACAAAAACAGCATCTTTAGCAGGATATTTGCTAGTAGGAGCTTATAGAGAAAAATAAGAGGCATATTACTGAAGATATTACAAGTTGTATTCACTGTCAGGTTTAAAGTATCTCTCTGGGATTCTGCTTGGGATTCTTCCAGAATGATAAAACTGACTATGTTACATAAAGCTATTATTTAGCAAGTGAGTTTTATAAAGGAACCTCAATCTAGACTGTTATTCAATATTGTTAGGAATACATAAGCCTTTGTTCTGTTGAGCAAAATATATTAATATTAGATGGTTTCTGATATTAAGCTATTAATTTTAGCAGATATACTTAGACACTTAAAATTATAAATCCAGTTCCTTTATTTCTGATTGGAGTAGTCAAACATATGAAAAGCCTACCAAAAGCAATGAACTGGGTTGAAGCTCTAGATTTGTAAACACTTGTATGAGCCTGCATGTATTTGATTTTTGCCTCCTGTCCTTGTAGCAAGGACAAGGCCAACCATAGATTGGCTTAGGCCTTTGACAAACTTCAATGCTGAGACAGTGGTAGTGCCTCACTCAAGCATTTGGACTGAGTGGGAGACCAGCGGGGCAAAAAATTAAATCAAGACTATGCCAGAAAAAGAGGCAATGGATACCCACCACACTTCTAGGCTGGCCTTCCCTTTTCTCTAATACGTATCCTTTAAAATGACAAAGGACTCAGCTCTGTTATAGTCTGGAATGGTTTACATTTAAGTTATTTATGTATAAGTATATTCACAGCTAACATTATCTCCTTGTCTACCAGTTCTTTGTGTAAACAGCCCTGAGGCTGAGATGTTATCATTAACCCCACTTGTACTAAAGTCTAAACTGATATACTTTGATGAAGGAAGACGGTCTAAATGGAATGAATCTAAATGGACAGGAGGAGGCACATTTGGTCTCAGACTGGTCAAATGAAGCAACACTGTTACCTCTGATTTCAGCATTTTTTCTTCAAATCTTGGTCTGGCTGTATTGTGTTGGAAAGACGTGAATAACAATACAAAGGTCAAAAAGGCACTCGAGTTCCTGTATATCGGACAATAAGGATACAAACAAAGCTCCTTTTAAGGGCTTCCACTAAAGCATGAAGAAACCCATTATTGGGCCATTAGTATGTTTTCTCTAAAATGGCAACCATTGGCAGTGATGCCACAGTAATGATATGTTACCATGCCCTGCAAAAAGCTCATGCAGGAAAGGCTGTGGAAGCTCAGTCTCCCTCCTGTTACAGAGAAAGGTCAAACTCCTGTCACTCTTGCTGACACGGCACAAGTACTAATCTCTGTACTTTGTAGTCAACCAGAAATGGAGTGGGCACATTAGGCAGCTTGTTCAGGGTTCCTGACTGTGCTCACTGTGAATGAACTCAGTCCTACACATGCACGAGCAAAATCCCAGTATAGACTTTCTTGCCTAAAGGACTTAGGCCTGTCATTACTTCTAAAATTATAGTCAAATTGTTATGATTTGGCAGCTACCAGAGAAAAAGACTTTTGTTGAGGCATTTGGCTTCGTTCTGCACTGTTGGGATGTTGCTGAAGGCCATGTTAGAAAGACAGAAAAGAGGTGAGATAAGAAAAAACAAATCTTACTGGAGATGTTTTCAGAACTTCTACATTGCTGAGCAATTTACTGTTATTGACTCATCACGTGAAAATAATTACGGGCATATCAGATTCAACTGTGTATCATGTTTTTCTATTTGATGTTGACTTGGGGATTCTTCTAAGAATTACATATAGTCATGGAGAGGAGAAAATTAGTTTTTCTGTAAGAATTTTATTCTTTAGAGTGAACCACCACTTTAGAGAAATGAATTACAATGTTAATTTAAAATATATTCTCAGGGTTTTCTAAATTACAAATGATATTTGTTCTAAGATATTTTTATCAGTCTTCATGTAAAATTTCAGTCTTTTTCTACTTGGTAACAAAAACAGGCAGCATTTTCCCTTTTTTATATCTTGTTCCTCAATTTATTGTATATATTGCCCCACTAAAGAAATCATAAACAACTCTGCAGGAATATGTTTCTATATAGTTATACCAATTCTGGCAGTGGCAATGCCATTTTATTTCCAGTAATATTTGTTGTTCTAGTTTATTCTTTCACAGTTTAGGAGGAAATTATAAAAATAACAGTGCAACAGGATTTTATTTTCTACTTTGCTTTTCTCTTACTTCTCTGTGTCCAAAACTTCTCATTGGTGGCATGTTACACAGCCACTCAAATCTGTGTTATGATTTTCTTTGGCAACATATTCCAGTGCTCCACAATACTGTGGATGAAAAATGTTGCAGTTCTTCATTATTATTATATCTAGATTGCACAATGTTGACTCCTTATTTTGAAGCTAGGTTTAACGTCCATCAATAAATGTAAGTCTTCAAGTTCCCCAGTAAAGTAGGGAGTAAGGGGAGCAGACACTATGAAAGAGAGACTAGGACTGATTTATGGTGAACAAATAGGAGGAGGCATTCTTTAAAAATCTATCAACTCCTGAGTAAGGTTTGGAAAAAGAGTAATCTAGATTTTAGTCATTGTTACTGAGCCGTATAATTTAACTGATTTGGGTATTTTTCAATAATTTATAGAACTTCAAAGAATAAGACTGAAATCACAAGTTCTCCAGTAAAGGATAACAGAGTTGGGGTAAGGGGAGAAAGAGAAAAGAGGGGAGGAGGGGGTGATGAACATATTCAATCCACTGTTTCTCTGTTTCTTGTCATTTCTTGGTGTCTACACGGTTTTATCATACTTGGTGGTGGCCAGTTTTTGTTTTTGTTTTTAACGTCTGTGAGACACTAAAAAGAAAGCTTTATAAAACTTTAAGCCACTTGAGAAACTTGCACTCTTATTACATTTAATCTGGGAAGTACTTTGAGGAAGCTGAGTATTTTGCATTTTGCCCTCTGTCTTTAGGGGCAATGTAATAAAATAGCTGTAATAATAAGGAAAGGAAATGGGGAAGAAATCATGTGACCAAATGACTTAAGGAGAAGCATGTTTTCCTGGTGTTCCCATTCATTTATCTCTACTGTATAATGCATTTTTCTTGTTTTACTGGGTAATTAAACCTTCAACACTCCCAAGTTTGTGAGGAATCTGAATCCCATTACGGGGAGATGCCTGAGTTTGATTCCCTTGTATTATTATCAGACGCTGGTCTCTTTCAAAGGGAATGCTTTTGATAATGTTTGGAGAGGTCTCTAAGGAGAGTACCTATTCTTGGCAAGTTAAGCACTGTCACATGTCTTGGCAGGGTTTGCTGAACTTTTAGGTTAACTCCTACAGCTGTTTCTACCCTTCCCACCTAAATTTTGTTTTAAACTTATTGCCTTGTCTGCTTCTTAATAGGGCAGGATCATTTTTCAGAGGTAGAGCTATTCTTTTCTTTCAAGTTACATTTTTATGAAAAGGAAAAAAAGAAGAATCCACATCAAAGCCCTTATGGGAGAGACCACAGGTTTTCTGCATGTGTCTCTTCTAGTATAACAGTAGTCTGATACCAATCCTAGAGATGAATTACTTAAAAGTTACACTTTCTAATCTGACCCTTTGGTTTTAAAGCCAACTTTTGTGTCATATGTCTTTAATCTAAAATGCACAGCAAGGATTATTATTTACATTTATTTGTTTTCAGATTGAGGTAACAGAAAGCTCCAAACTTCTGTTTTGAATGTTGCCTTTATTTTGGACACATAGACCTTGCACCTTTCCCCAGTTCCTATTTTTTTAGTTTTGTTTTTCTGGAAAAATCACATCAGTGGTCAACTATATAACTGACCCAAGAATGTGCTCCATCTGCAAAGCAGATTAGGTAATTTCACAATGGGCCAGTCTTGAACCAGAACTTTATTTATGCTTCCAGAAACAGAAGATACAATTTGAAAGGCTTGAATACTCTTTTGCTTCCTTAAAGAAAAATCAGGAGAAAATTATATTCTAAGACCTCAGCAACTAAATTAGATAGTGAATAAACATGTGAAGCAAGATTTTTACATTTTGAAGTTTTTTTTTTAAAGAAATTACTAACTTCCCTGAGTTTTCAAAAATACATTGAAATTGGAAAAAAAAATATTCTAGCTAAAAGAAATAATAAGGCATTGACATATTACGGGATTTGAGAGCAATGTGATGTTTTTGTTAGTGTTAAATGATTTTACAGGTAATAACAAGACTGAAAGATAAATAAAATTCATATTCCTTATCTTTTTTATGAAAAATCTTTGGGTAGCATTTAAATATATTTCTTAGGAAAGGAACAATATTAAATGACTAAGAAAATATAGGGTTTTAACAGCAGGAATTGTGGTTTAATAGAAAAATATCATTTGCTTCTTTGGGTGACCTGCATTACAGAGGGGCATTACCATGAACTGTGAACATAGATTGTGCACTCAGCTTCTAAGTCCTAATGTCTATCACTAATATTGATTAGGCTCTAATGTTGTATAATTCTATAAAAACATGTTTTCTGATTATAAATTTTTGATAGAAATCTAATTGACCTGGCTTGTATTGCTATCATAATCCTTATTCCAGTACCCCTGCCTCCATATCTGGAGCCTGGACGGCATATTTTAACCAAGCATAATTTGCTCTGTTTCTCTCGCCCCAAATAAAAGAGAGAAATTTTCTTCAAGAACACTAAAAGCTCAGAAACCAGATGTGGTTTGTGTAGGTATTCATTATGAATTTGCAGCAAATTATAATTACAGAGACAGCCAAACCCAAAGGCACACTTTAGAAGAGAGTAATAGGGACAGAGATTTAAGCGATTCTGAAAGGAAAAGACTTCTTAAAAAATATTTAAATGTCTTAATTTTTTTCAGTTTGGCAGAATGGTAATACAAATTAGGAAGAAGTCGCCTTATCCCTTACCTTAACAAGGAGTTCTGTATTGCTTCGGCAGCCTTTGGTCAGGGTACACCGCTTACTCTGTGCCCAGTGGCGCAATGCATCATTGGAGTGATAGCATGCTAATCCCAAATTGAATCCTGGCTGTGCCGTTTGCTAAAACATTAACCGAAGAGAATTTAAACTCTCTGAGCCTCTTTTTTTCCCTTTAACTATAAAAGAGGATAACAATACCTACCTGGTCATTGTTAGAGTTGGATATAATTTTCACCTGACACAAATTATGTGCTTAATAAGCAAAAAATGGTAGCAGCATTATCAGTCGGAGTAGTTGAATACACGTGTCCTTTGAGGGTGGTATGGTTTGGCTGCGTTCCCACTCAAATCTCATCTTAAATTTTAAGCCCCGTAATGGCCAAGTGTTGTGGGAGGACTCCAGTGGGAGGTAATTGAATCACGGGGATGGTTTCTTCCGTGCTGTTCTCATGATAGGGAGTTCTCACCGGATCTGATGGTTTTATAAGCATCTGGCCTTTCCCCTGCTGGCACTTATTCTCCTTCCTGCTGCCACGTGAAGAAAGACATGTTTTCTTCCCCTTCTGACATGATGGTAAGTTTCCTGAGGCCTCCCCAGCCCTGCAGAACTGTGAGTCAATTAAACCTCTTTCCTTTATAAATTACCCAGTCTGGGGTAGTTCTTTATAACAGCATGATAATAGACTAATATAGAGGAATAAATTGAAAATCTCTGGAGCTTGTTAATCAGAGTGCCATAAACAGAGAAGTTTGAAACATGAGTCATTATCTGTACTGGGCATTGCTGAGGGGCACATGTTATCAGAAAGCTTTAGGGAAAGCTTAAACCATGAAAGGTAGAGAGATCTATTAAGAGAAAATAAAAGGTTAATCGTAACAACTCCACCTTTTAATGATGGCAGGCTCCAGGAGCCTGCCTAGCTTTAAGGAAGTGGGAAATTGCCTTGTATCCTTCAGATCCAATGGTATTGTGAGACAAAATACAATTTAGTGTAGTAACTTTATTATTTTTCTAATATAACAGCTATCCTATGTGCTTATAGTGGATGTTGATATATTTTTTCTGTCAGGAACCTTTCCATCTTTTCTGAGAGCACACCCTAATGTCCTTTAGGAATAAATCTGTCTCTTTCCTGGTCTCAGCCAAGTGGTTTGCATGAGATTGATGCTACACTCTGCTCCTTGGGGTGTGCCTTGAATAGCTAAGCCAATTGATACATGTAATTATATCTTTTAACAGGGAATTATTTTGGAGCAAGCGGTTGAAAACCTATAAGCTTTCTTAATGTTTCAAGACTTATACTTGGAATGCTGGGTCATGGACTCTTTTCCCCTCTGAACTTAAAGAAGTGAGAGCCTTCAGATTGCCAGAGTAGAAAAGGCCTGAATAAAGTGATCAACAGGGCAAAAGTAGAGCATAGAGAAGTGACAGTGGGATAGTCTATCACTTTCAGTGTGCATTGGCCAGTTAACAAACATAGTGAAGTTTTATTTTTGCGTGCCATATTATTTCACTATGTGCAAAACTTCATTAGTAAGATGGAAACTTGCCTGAAGAGAGCCTTACCTGACATTTTGGTTATGTGAGCCCTCAAATATGTTTTCTTTGTATAAGCTAGTTTTGCTTGGGTTTTCTGAAACTCTAAAGATACTAATGATATACTTGTTGATGAATAAAATTTAGAAATCAGCAAAGAGAAAAAATACATTGTTTATAATCTTTATATCAATAAGCCACCATATATTTTGGAATATGTATATCCAGTCATCTATTTCTGTATGTTCATGTATACATTAAATATTTTTAAAATGGGAATAATTCAATATAGTATTTCTTGTGATTTTTTTACTAAAATTATAGTCATTTAAAAATGTATCATTGTTATACTGTAATGTTTTTAGTGATTTCATAATTGATTGTATAGATATACTGTATTTAGACAATTTTTAATTTAATTATCTAACATTAAATAATTAAATTGCAACTGTATTTTCACTATTAAAAGCAATGCTGTGATGAACATATTTGTACATAAAGGTTGGCACATATTCTTAAATGTTTTCAAAGGAAAAATTCTGAAAAGTGAATTTGATGATCAACGAGTTTGCATGTTTTTAAGATATTGATACACAATCATGCATCATTTTACACTGGGGATACATTCTGAGAAATGCACCATTGGGCAATTTCATGATTGTGCAAACGTTATAGAGAATACTTACACAAACCTAGATGGTGTAGCCTTACTATATTCCTAGGGGCTACAAATCTGTACATCATCTTACTGTACTGAATACTTAGGCAGTTGTAGCATAATAATGATATTTGTATATCTAAAATACCTAAACAAGACGTAGCAAAAATATGGTATTATAATTTTATGGGATTACCATCATATATGTTATCTACTGTTGACTGAAATGTCATGAGTTATGATGTTGTGCTTGACTGTTTCCATGTGGCTTCCAGAATACATATAACAATTTATACTTCTACCAATAGTAACTGAGAGTTCCTATACTCACAAAACATTTTATACTCACAAAAACATCATTACTATTATAGAACTCTGTTAATATGATAAATACAAAAGGCTAGCTGTAAGTTGCATTCCATATGTAGATGTGTAGACATGGAGTGAGCTTTTGCAGCTAGTACTGTGCATAAGGAATTATTTTTTCTCTTAAAGCTGAAAGAATTTTGAATTATGGTCACATTTATATGGAACTGCAGGATTAAATAAGTTGGTGATTTTGGCTGAACAAATAGTTTTATGTATTTTTGCTGATTTTTTATCTATATTACCTATTTAAAGGTAGGACACTAAACCCGTTGAGAAAGTGTAGTAGAGAAGAAGAAAATACTCTATATAGTAGCAACCAATTGTTTATAATTGAATTCAATATAGTTTACCTTGCCAAAATATAAGGTATGTATGAACTTTTATGAATATGTGATTCTATGAAACAGGTAACATCCTCTATTTCATCTAGAGTTATTTTCTACTATTGTTATTACTATTCAGTTAGAAGCATTTTTAAAGGTTATTTTAAAAAAGATGATCTTGTTACCTGACATATTTCTCTTTCAAAGGCCAGAGTAGACATGCTTTCAAGGATTCTTAGCAAAAGAATTGAAGAAAATACAGAGGAAGATAGGGAACATAAGGAGAGGCAGATTCAAAGTAGCACTGAATGATTTGACCCAATTGTGCCCCTAAGTCACCCTGTTTGGTCAAAGAAAGTGTGCAGGTCCTGACTTTCAAGGCACCAAACTTCCCTGTCTTGAAGGCTGAGTGATTGGGGTCACCAGAATGTAACATTTCAAAATACTTGTCTGGTTTGGCCAAAATATCCTCTTAGCAACTCACTGATTCTTTCCAGTCAGGGTTAAGGTACATATGACAGCACTGTTACCGACCAGAGAATTATCAGATCCCCAAAGATGTAATTGCTAGCAATATAAGGGGCTGTAGCAGAGAGAGATGATTTTTTTTTTTTTAAATCCCATTTCAAAAATGGCTATACCTTTCTCACCTTGACAGGGAAAGTAGATCTTCTTGAAATGCTTCCACTAGCTTCTTTGTGTGGGTGACTATGAACACTTGAAGACAGAAACCTTCCTGATCCCTACAGCTATTTCCGTTAACTCCTTGAAGACCAAATAATGTGTGCGCTCAGCTGCTGAACTGTTTTAATGAGGTGCCACTGATTTTAACGGGGCAAAAAAGATGGATGATTTACGCCAGATGTCCATAAGGGCCATTCGGGGATTGTTTTGCCGGACACATAGTAGATCATGTTGCTCGTTGAATTCTTAAGGGGTTAACTTGACCTTTCCTTTAACACGACACTAAAAATAATGTAATTTCCATTCTCGGTGTCTCTTTTATTTATATAGAAAAGCTTCATGACAAACCCACCAGGCCTCTAAGAGCAAGTTTCTCATTTATGTCTTTGCCATCCATAAACCCTAGTGGGTGATTTTGAAAGTGGTAATAGACACCAGTGGATGCTTTACCCATGAGCACGAACCCGGCTTTTATTATCAACACTTCTAACAGTGAATCATTCCAAGATGAAAGATTATTTTCTAAAGACTGTTGGTCAGTGTTGTACACCTTATTTCTAAAAAGTTTATTTCCACTCAAATAATCAATACCAATGCCCCTTGGAGTATGAAAGTGAAATTAAAAATACAAAGCATAAGCATAAATATTCTTTGAGACATATTAGGCATTATATTACATTATTATTCCTTATTTTCCAGACTCTGGTGAAATATGCTTCTTCACTATTTGTTAGTTATAAGATGAAAACTTGACTTTTTTTTTTTAAGACTGAGTCTTGCTTTGTCACCCAGGCTGAAGTGCAGTGGCCTGATCTCTGCTCACTGCAACCTCCACCTCCCATGTTCAAGCGATTCTCCTCCCTCAGCCTCCTAAGTACCTGGGATTATAAGCATGCCTCACCGTGCCTGACTAATTTTTGTATTTTTAGTAGAGATGAGGTTTCACCATGTTGGCCAGGCTGGTCTTGAACTCCTGCCCTCGAGTGATCCACTGCCTTGGCCTCCCAAAGTGCTGGGATTATGGGTGTGAGCCACCTTGCCTGGCCAGGATTCTGAATTCAGAGCATATTCTGGTTAAGAACAGAAGACCAAAGATCTGAGTGGTAACATTTTGCCTCTTGCTTGGATCCAACAACTGAATGAACTTCACATGCTACCCTGAGGTCATTATGCTCTTATGCCAACTCCTTATGAATAAAGAATGTATTTGTTTGGTAGTTATCATGATCTTTGCAGTAAGTGAATCTTCATATTTTTTCATATATTTCCTTTGAAAATCTGATATTATAGTTGATCACAAAATAAATCTAGACCTCAAAGTCTCCTAACAATCAACCAATCATGGAGGCATATTTTTGCAGAGAATTGAAAAAACAGCTAAACAACAATTCGTAATTTCTTTCTTTTTTCTTCTGCTGCATTTTTAGGTTTTACCTATGAACTTGGATTATAGATGAGGAATTTCATTTTGCCTTAAAGGTGGCATAGGAATATCAAAATATAAAATTTCATAGTGAAAAATAATTTTTATATTTTTCTTGTTGTAAAT